CGCCCCCCGAGCGCCGCGCTTCCCGCCGCAGGGGGCGAGCAGGCTGTGCAGAGCACCCCGCGGGCCCATCCCTCGCAGCCCCGGGGTGGGGGGGGCTCCTTGTGCCACCCCAGGGGGCAGGGATGCTACCAGGGGCCGACGCGGTTTTTCCCCCGGTCAAGCAAACCTCGTGGGGCACTGGTTGTGGCAGGAGGGCTTGCCCCCCCAGCCCCTTCGCTTCTCTACATTGGAGCTCAGCTCATTTATTCTTCCACAGGGCATTTTGGCACCGAGGCTGGAGGGACGCACGCCCGTACCCTTTCTGCGTGGAGGTAGCCTGCTGCCAGGATCTGTTAGAGCAGTGTTTCTCAACCTTTTAAGCAGCAAGTACCCTCTAACTTCTGAAAATGCTAATAAGTACCCCAATGCTCAATTTTCCAGGGGATTTTATTTTTACAAACTAATGTGTGCTGTATGTTGGAAGAAGGGCCGTGTATATAAGGCCATGATATGACAGATGTGTGATCTGGTGTGGGTAGGGTTGCCACTTTTTACACCAGGGGTGCGCAGCTCAAGTATGTACCTGGGCTAGAAGTGCTGTTGCCCAAAGTTAGGAAGGCTGAACCCAGTGCCATGCAAAGCACGGCACGCCAAATTATTACTGAGGAATTTTAATGCACTACGCACCAAATGTTTTGCCATAGTTTTGAGAAAAAGAGGGCGAGAGAGAGAGTGTGTTGGGGTACCCGCGTACCCCCTGCCTGTCTCGTGTACCCCCAGGGGTATGCATACCACAGGTTGAGAAACTGTGTTAGAGGGCCAGCTGGAGTGGCGCTGCAGGGTTGTTTTTTTAATATAATATTTTGTTTCCAAGGGCCAAATCAGTTCCAGATTCAACTGGGAAAAGCCCAAAAGTCAAGTTTCAAATCTGGACTGAGCAGAGCTCATCAATCTGGGTGGCTCTACCACCAGGCAAATATCCTCCCTCAGACCTGTCAGTCAGGGGTTTTGGATACTCCCCATATCCTGCCTGCAAGCCCCAGGCCCAGGGGCCTTGGTGTTCAGATGCTCCCTAGTTTCCCTTGCTCCTAGCCAAAAGGCTGAGGAGAAAGCTGGGTGAAAGCACAAACGCAGTCCCCTCTTGCCACAAAATTGTGCAGTCACATTTCCACGTTTGAGGAAACTTGCAAGAGTCAGCCTGCCCAGAGTGCAAGGGACAGACCTCACCATATAACTACACTTGATCTTAGCATGGTATTAGTCCAAAGCCAAAAGACACTGCAAATGAGACTCACAAGGACTTGTGAAAAATAACGGTTTTCCCAGACAACTGCAAAATAGAAATCGGCCCAGCTGCCAGAAATCCACCCTCGTGCTAGCTCGAGGCACAAGCAGTTCTTAATGTCCGAAGGGCTTGTCGACACATGGGATTTGATTCTGAGGAAGAAACTCTGTGAATTTAAAGAGAAATAACTGTTCCTGATTGACTCCCTGTATGGATGTTCTTATTCTGGGATAAAAGCACTTGCACAGAGAGATCATCAGGAATAGCTCTTACAGAATAATGTAGGCAAAGCCTCTAAGCACTAAGATAGAGTTGCCTAGAACATCTCCCTTTGCATAGCACCGATGGCTTTAATTGAGAACCTATAAGGACCGGACATGATAAGGAGGACATCTTTGTGTAGACAACATCACAAGAAAACTGGAATTGTCAGCTCTTTTAGTTCATGTTTATGCAGCAGCCAGTGCAACATTGAGGGCCCCAATCCTGACTGTGCCATTGGAGCACTTCGTCAGTATAAATACAAGTAATAATGATTGTAATAAAAGGCAGCATTATAAATGATGACTGGGAGATCATTTTGTAGGTCAAGGCCTCTCCACTGCATCCAGTGGTGTTTCTTCTTCTGCTGCCCCAAGGTACAGAGTGGTTAGGAAATGTGCTGTGACAAAAATATCAGCAAAAATGAAACAGTTTTCAGTTCTCAAAACTTTCCTTCATATGTTTTGGGTTGCCAGGAAAACACAGATAACCATGGGTGAACATTATTAGCCATTTTTTTATGTTTTGGTTTTCAGTGGCTGAAATCAGAAAAGATATGATTATTGCGTCTTCAGTTAAAACCGAAGTAAGAAGAGATTTTCTTATGGAAATTTGCTTTTTGACAAAAGAAACTTTTTTTTTAATTGAAGAGAAATTCAAACTAAAATATCACCCAGTTCTAGATACAAATCTAAATAACCCTACATTTGTAATAGGATGCATCAGGGAGTATCTGCATTGGTCCCAGGGCAGACACAGCTGCTGATATTCATTGTAGCCCTGTACAGCGTTTGGCAATTTCTGCTCTCTGGTGGTGGACTATTTCTCCCTGAGTATGGTCAGCACATCCATAAATTATATGCACCACTTTTAATTAGCAGTTATTGAAAGAAAAAGGGCTCCTTCTGTGTTAATACCTTGCTGGCTGAGTTATGGAAACATTTACCATAATGGCAAACTTTAATTTGTCAGCAACAAGCTGTCATAGAACGCAGCAAAAAGAGAGACACTGAAGATACAGCAAGTTTGAAGAAGTGAAAATTAACATGTTTTGTTAGCAGAACTGTGAGGTTTATTAGTGGATTGGTGGTAGCCATTTGTTACTGCCCAAATCATGGTTATTTTTCATGAATATTAGGGCTGTGCATGGGTTGGGGGAGAATAGAGAACTAAGACAAACCAGGAGCCCTTTGAAAGCTGGTCATTGTAACAGGGCTCCTAACCAAGTACTAAAGGGGAGCGGGATCCCAGAGGCAGGCTAACATAGGCAAAGAGCCCTGGAATAAAGTGGCTGCCCATCCCAGGTGCAAGCAATGATTGACAGGCCTGAGGGCAGAAGTGGAAAATCAGGTGACCCCAGAAGAGACTTATAATAAGCACAAGGCTTGAGTCAGTGGGGACAGTCTGGCTGTAGGAGCATCAGGAGGCAGAGCTCCAGGAGACAGCCAGGCCAGGCGGCCTAGAGGAAAGACTCTGAGTTGCAGGGGACTTGGAAGGAACCCTCCATCCCAAATGGAAAAAGGTAAGTTCCCTGGGCCTTTGGGGTAGGGCTTCTGCAGGGCAAGATTAATCCTGGGAGGCCATGGGGGTAAGCAGGGACCCTTAGTGTAGAGCCCTTGCCAAGGTGGTGACCCAGGAGGGCAGAGCCAACCCTAGGGGTGTGCAGGGCCTGGGACATATCAGCCTGTGTGGGGCCTGTGGGGCAGGGTGGTGAGCAGCCGGAGCAGGGTGGGGTGATGAGCGGCCAGAGTGCAAAGCCAGCGGTGCACAGCAGCTGCGCAGAGTGGTGGTGCCCTCGGCACATGCCAGTGGCACTGTCTACAGGGCCCACAGCAGTCGCCTCGATTTGTCCTGTGTGCCCCCCCACCAAGGGATGGCTCTGCAGGGGGCTGCAGTATCCCACGCCCTGCAGAAAGACTATTACTATCTCACAGAGGGCAGAGATACAAGACAGCAAAGACAGGGGCACAAGCTCAGAGCTCACAAGGGTGAGACAGGGCCAAGGAGTCCGGAGCCTGTGAGCCGGAGCTGGGGCTGAGGAGCTTGCGGTCCAGTGGACCCCAGCCCCTGGGCTCAGCAAGAATAAAGTGGGACAAGGTCAGGGGGCTTCAGCCTAGACCAGTGGTTTCCAACCTTTTTAAAGATGAAGATCATTTGTTGAAGTAAAGGGCAATCCAGGATCTACTGCGTTCCTACCCGCCTCACCCAGCAGGTCAGTCTGGGTGGTGGGGGGCAGATTGAGGCCCCCGCAGTGAGGGAGGGAGTGGGGTAGGGGTGAGTGGGGCCCTGGCCGGGCCGGGCAAGGGTCAGAGCCTGGGTGGATCGTTCAGGCATACGGGGGGGGCTCCCGCTTTAGCTTGCACCCCGGCAGAGGCCCAGGGGGCACGTACCACCACCCCCCCCATTTGTGTGCAGGGCAAGGTGGCTGCCACTCTGCACTGGGCTTTGCACCCCAGGCCCCGCTGCAGGTTGGGGCTTGGGATGCAAAGCCGGGGCACAAAGACCAGCGCACAGCAGCATCCACCTCACCCTGTGCACAGATTGGGGGGGGGCACATGCCCCCTAGGCATTCACCGGGGCATGTGCACCAATCCTCCCCTGGCCTGGCCCATGGGGCCTGGCCCCATTCACCGGGTGGCAGGGGGTGTGGAGGGGGATCATCCCACTTGCCTGGCCCAGCCCGGCCCCAGCAGCAGGGCAGTCCAACCACATGCATTCTGCCGCTCCTACATCCCGCTGCTCCTGGACTGCATCCCAGGCGTTCCCAATCGTGGAGCCTCTGACAGTTGACTTCAGTCTGGGGGGGCTAGCCCCCCCAGACTGAGATCAACTGTCAGGGGCTCTCCAGTCAAACTGGATCAACCGGTTGGTAACCACTGGCCTAGATGAAGGCCTACCATCCAAAACCTCTTTGCCCTCTAGAGGGAGCCTACCTGTCAACTTATAACTAGGGACCTACCAAAATAGCAGTTTTGCAATTTTTGCAGAAACTGATTTTGGGCAGGCTCTGTGCTTTTGGTGGGCTCCCTTGTGGGTGGGAGAAAAACTTATAAAAGTTTTCCCAGGGGGAGTGGGGGACAGGAGAAGATTGGATCCATGAATCAGGAAAGGAATATGGGAGACAGTAAAACCCCCAACAGTCAAGGAAATGGAGTGTGGCTGTGGGGCCACTCCCCTGCATGCCAAGGAGGGCAAGGCATGCAATGGGGCCAGGTAAAAGAAAAATCTACCAATTTTATCATGTTGACATGCTAAAGAAATGGAAAGAAAGGGAAACTACATTCATAGTGCCCTATCCAGACCAACTAGAATTGGGATGTCAGATAAGGGAGCATGAGAGTAAAGTCCCAGTAACCCTGGGAGACCACCTAACAGATACCCAACAAACTCAATTGGAGCAGATGGTGCAGGAGTTCACTGTAAAAACCTCAGGGGAGCCCAGGATTACCCAGCTAATAGAACATCACATTGAGATGGCTCCTAACAAACTTGTGAGGGAAGGCTGGAGAAAGTATCTTCCAGTGGCTCCAAGGGTGGTGAAAGAGGAAGTGCACCAAATGTTAGTTCAAGGTATTATTCAAGAAATGTGGACTGAGTGGCAAAGTCCTATGGTAATGGTCCCAAAAAAGTATGGAACGGTGTGTCTCTCCATAGACTTCTGGAAGGTGAATGAGATGGCAAAGTTTGTTGCCTACCCTGGACCTCAGGTTGAGGTCCTGATCAAGGGGATTGGGGGGTTAATTTATCTCAACCCTAGACCTTACAAAAGGGTACTGGCAGAACCCTCTTGAGCATCAGTCCCAAGAGAAGACAGCCTTTGCCACTCCATGGGGCCTATATGAGTTTGTCTGAATGCTTTTCAGGTTACGTGGGGCAGTAGCCATCTTTCAATGGCCTATGGACCGAGTGTTAGCACCTCACCAAAATTATGGGGTGGCTTATATTGATGACATAATAAACTTTTTGCTAGGATGGGGCGAGGACCTAAGAGTCCTGTAGCAGATTGTCACTCAGTTCTTTATTTTTTCTGGGGCAAAATCGCTCTCACACAGAAGCCCAATGTCCATAACAAAGCCAGTACTGAACAAACAACCAAACACTCAACAAAGGGTTAACTCACATTTACAGTCCTTTTTGGACCCAGAGAGAGGATAGCAAGGCTTGCAGTTCAGCTTGCTGCTCCCTGCTTAGCATCATCCTCTTGGCACCACCCACATGAATGCACATGATGTACACACATTCACTTACTGGAACATCTGCCGGACTCACAAACTGCTTGTATACAAATGTTTGCCCAGAGCCTGAGTCTGAGTCCAACCACATTGATATCCCTGATCTTTACTGGGATCACATATCCTCTTGGGTCTGGGCTCCCCCATTTTGCCTCTGAGACCAAGGTATGGGAGTATCTATAGTCCATCTGGGGGCAGTCTCAATATCTGTGTCCTTTCTCCCCACATTGGAAACACATCATCTGCACCTCCTTTTCTCTGCCTAGGCTGTGGGGATGTCCCCAATGGTCTTCTTCTCCTGGCCCCCTGCTCAAAGGCTCTCCTTCTGTCTGGGGCCTTGGGGAAGATGGAGGTAATGTCCATATCAGAAGCTTCCCTAAACCTCCAGCTGGTTTGCCACAGAGCCCCAGCTTCCTTGGGCCCGTTAGGCTGCCAGATTCCCTGGGGTTCCTGGCAGTCCAACTCCACCCCTGTGAAGTCTTATACCCTCTGTGTGGCTT